AAAAACTAAGATTTCCAAAAACCCAAGTGCCGTCCACTTCAGAATACATCAAATAGAAATTTAGATTTCCAAGAACCCAATTCCCATCCATTTCAAAGTCTCTCTTTCCATCGCCATCTGCAAAATTCAATCACTTCAGAATGCAATAGGCAATCAAACAAAAATTAAGATTTCCAATAATCCAATTCCCATCCACGTCAGAGTGCGACGGACAAAAACTAAGACTTCCAAAAATTCAATTGCCGTCCACTTCAGAATGCATCAAATAAAAATTTGGATTTCCAACAACCCAATTCCCGTCCATTTCAGAGTCTTTCTCTCCATCGTCATCTGTAAAATTCAGCCACTTCAGGAATAACAGGCAATCAATCAAAAATTAAAATATCCAATAATCCAATTGCCATCCATTTCAGAATGCAATTGGCAAAAAAATAAGAATTAAAAAAAAATCAATTCCCATCCATTTCAATATCAATATTGTATTAATATTTAAATTCAATATAATATATACCAATTTTACCCAATTGCAATATTTTATTCTGCATCAATAAAATGCAAAATTAATTAAATTGTATTTCATTTAATATATTTAAATTCCAATTAATGTTGTTTTTTAGATTTATTTCAATATATATATATTATAATCATTTCTATTATTTCTTCTACATATAAAATATAATTAAATTCATTTCATATTATTTTTACCAAATTTATACATATATAAATCTATTTATATCAATTCTATTTATTCATTAACATATTATTCCTTTCTTTATATTGCTTCTAGAAAATATGATCTATATATAATCTAATTAAAATATATTTTTCAAATATATGCTCTCGAAATGTTCAAAAAGATTCATAAGAAAATTAGACGACGAGTGGCCCGAAAGCATTTTTCATCACGTAGGAAGTCAGAGTGTGAGTTATCTGTTAAGTGTTCAGTGTGAAGTGTTAAGTCGAGTGAGTTGAGGCAGTGTGTGGGTCTCTGTATGTGTGTATCTTTGTCTGTGTGTGTATGAGTCTCTGTCTGTGTGGGTGTCCGAGTAAGTTGAGGCAGTGCGTGGGTCTCCTGTGTGTGATGTGTGTGTATAAGTCCCTGTCTGTGTGTGTGTGTCTATGTCTGTTGCTGGTGAAGATCTTCATTGTAGATATAATGAACGATATTTATGAGAAGTTTATGGGGTGTGTTGAAAATTCTTGCAAGTACATTCTCCATTGCTATTGATTTGCTTTATGTTCCTGGCTACGATCTGGTGCTAGCTGGCCCAAATTCTATGGAGACTTGTGCAATCTCACTTTGAACACCAAAAGGTAAACGATGCAAAATGCACAAATGCATGGCAGCCACACCGCTCTCCAGGTAATGTTTTCTTCACTTAAGATGGAATTCATCATCCACTATATTGATCATTTTCTCATCGATTGTCCCAAAAAAGCAAAAACGTGCCCAAGTAGCTTCAGGTGACACGCAGCAGCCATTGCCTATATCTTCGTGTGCTCTCTCTGCTCAGCTCGCGACTAGCCTGTGTATACGGAAAAGATTCCCCCAAAATATGTCCAGCAACGTCCTTGTTGTCCTTCCGCCAAGAGCAATTGCCCTGGATTTAGTCAATGGTCTCCACCGCATTCCAATGCATAAAATTGAATTCTTGCAAACCAACGTTTCTGCCAAATTTAAAGATGGATCCTGTCTTGAGGAGTACGTGTGTCAAATAGATTTGGGGGAGGTTGATCCCACCACGCACCCGAATCTTGTGCTAAAAGCACAAACTTGAATTCTTGCAGACCAACGTTTCTGCCAAATTTAAAGATGGATCCTGTCTTGAAGAGTACGTTTATCAAATAAATTTGGGGGAGTTCGATCCCAGCACGCACCCGAATTTTGTGCTGAAACGCGCGCGGGCCGGTCGCAACGACCTCTATTGGATTCTCGACCGCGCGCGATCTCCGCAGAGGGTTGCACGCACACCGGACAAATCGCACTTTTGCCTGCATTTCGCGCACTCGACACGCACGATCTCCGCAGAGGAGGGTTGCGCGCGGACCGGACAAATCGCTTTTTCGCCTGCATTTCGTGCACTCAATACGCACGATCTCCGCAGAAGGTTGCGCACACACCAGACAGATCGCATTCTCGCCTGCGTTTCGCGCACTCGACACATACGATCTCCGCAGAAGGTTGCGCGCGCACCGGACAAATCGCATTCGCGCCGGCATTTCGCGCACTCGACACGCACGATCTCCGCAGAGGGTTGCCCGCGTGCAGGACAAATCGCACTCTCGTCTGCATATCGCGCACTCGACACGCGCGATCTCCGCAGAGGGTTGCGCGTGCACCGGACATATCTCACTCTCGCCTGCGTCCCGCGCACTCGACACACACGATCTCCGCAGAGGATTGCCCGCGCACCGGACCAATCGCGCTTTGGCCTGCACGTCGCGCACTCGACACGCGTGCTCTCCGCAGAGGGTTACATTTTCGGTTGACGTTGTTCGTCCCACCCTCCGCCTTTAAGAGAGAATTTATAAAATGGGGAAATATTTTTCATTAGGACATCTCCCGTGCAAGTTATCATTAGGATATCTCCCGTGCAAATTTTCCATATTCACACTTGCATACTTATTAGGCCATCTCCCGTGCAAATTTTACTTTTGCACTTGGATATTTGCCGTTGGATGCTTTCACTCTTCCATTGGGATACGTATAGAAATGTCAGTGTTCAAGTATAAGTGTGGAAGCGTAAGTGTCCAACTATATGTAAAGAAATGTCAGTGTTCAAGTGCAAGTGTGGAAGTGTCAATGTGTAAGTGTAAGTATAGAAATATCAATGTTCACGAGATTTTCCAGAAGAATTCTTCACAATGCTTTCGGGAACAAATTTGCCCCATGGCTCAAATCATTAGTGAACATTAAATCGGAACAAGAGGTTAACGAAAACGTTCCCCAAGAGAGAATTAACATGCTTCACAAAACAAACACTAAATATATATTCCCTCGAGGAATATCTTTCGTTATTAAAATTTCATATACACTCTTTCCAAGTGTTCAAAAAGTGCTAGATTTTTAGAAGGCCTCCGAGGGGTAGGTCCTTAGGGCAAACCTGCACTCAAGCGCATGACTGCTTCACGAAGCCTACCGCGCAGGCGTTGCTGCAGGTGATTGCGCGGGTAACACAAGAATTAGGCACCGCCAAAAATGTCGATTCATTGACACGACCTTCCAGCCTCTCTATGCACCCCTCGCTTGACCAGCTTTCAAGCAAGATGACGTGGGTTGCAAAGGGGGTGATGCACGCCCCGAGAAGCTGCAACAAGGTTGAGGTCTTGAAGGGGCATGGGGCATATAGAGCCCCAGTCCAAGTCGAAATGCACTTCGAAGATTTCGAGGTGAATGAAGGTACCATAACAGCAGTGATTTGGCTGGATACAGATGCGAGCGCTGTGCGAACCCCCAGTGTAGGCGCGCTGTTTTGTAGAAAGGTCCGCCACTAGAACATTTCAACACCCAGTCCCAGTCCGAGTAACGCTATGGCACGCCCTTTCAACAAGCCCAACCCCCCCCTGCATGCACAGTTGTCATTAGATACAAAATATGTATTTCACTGATATATAAGCTCGCGCACATGTACCTGCAAAGTTTTTGTATGAAAGAACCTGGTCCAAGCACATCCCTGCACACACTTGAAGACACCAGAAGAGACAGAGGAGCGGGTAAAAACAAATCAAAAGTCCCCACACTTTCACAACTACATCAACTACATCTAGAACCTTAAAATTAACAAACGCACAGAACGTAGACAAGAAAACAATTGTCCCTTCAATCTGCACTTTTGCGCCAGCTTTAGGAGGTGGCCTTGTTTCTAGAGACAATGCTGCTGCCAAACTACCCAAAGCAGCGCTTGCATAATTTCAGCCGCTTTGGGCTTTTCATATTGCAACACTGCGGGCTTAAGTGAACACAATCACCAGTTGCAGTCATAAAGGCCAATCTATGTTGATCTTCTCTCTGGTGGCTCTGCTTCCGGCGCGTCACCTCGTTTGTTGACTTTGGCAAAGCGCGAAGCTGGTCAGTTGAAATGTGTTTTCCGTCTCCAGACTTGCTGCGATTGTTCCGAAAGCAGCACACAGCGAAGAGAATGCCCAGCAAAAATGCCGGTGAAGCAACCAGCACAAAGACAAGGATGAAAAAAAAAAACATCCATGGGCACTTGGGCAGTACCGTTAATCAGGTAAACCGAGCTTCAAGCTGGGAGCCAGTGGAACGACGAATTTGTGACAAGTCTGCACAGGCGCTGCACCAGCATGCAAGACAAGACTGTCTTTAGTGAAACAACTAGAACAACTCACACCCAAAACAAAAAACTCAGTGCCACAAAAGTATGTCCCCTCGGACAATTGCATGAAACCTTCTGAGAAGCTTTAAGAAACACACGAGAACGAATCTGATGTGAACGTGTATTGCACCATGTGCGCTTGCAAATTCGAACATCTTTTCCAGCCAGGCGAAGCTCAGAGGTGGGCGTCACACCTCAGGTGAGGGCACAAAACCAAGTCATCAGGCGCACTTGCTTCAAACCCATTTGCAAATAAACCAGCGACAAACTACTAACTACAGAAGATAGACTGAGCTAGGATCGCACAAACAGGGTGAGGAACACGTTTCTCCCAGACCGCTGGCTGTGTCGTATGTCCTTATGTTGGCCATGTTCACCAAAAGCTTTCACTGGTCTTCGCACAGTGAACCTGTAGGAACCCCACCCCAAATGCTGCAGTCGCTTCGCACAGCAACTCAGGCACACAACAGCGCGCAAATGCGTCCGCGCAGGGACTGACTACACATTCCACTCTTTGACCCAAAGCCGTATTGGCAGCAGCAACAACAACAACAACAATAGCTCTCCAGAAAACATGCTTGGGAAAGAACTAACACTTTCATAAGAAGACGTTTCTACGCACAAACTTGTCAGTCAGTGTTGAAATGGCTGGGTCGCTCCTCACTAGCTCGCGTTGCCTGCATCCGCCGGCGGTGGATGTGGGGGACCCTTCATGTTAGAGATCTTGTCATCGATGGCTGTGACCAGATCATCCAAAGTCTCAGATTTCTTGCCGCAGTCTTTGGCTTCCATCTGCATGGCTCGCAGCGCTGCAATCCCGGTCTTGTCTCCATCTCCGGGCCCCACAGCTATCAAAGATGTCTTCAACCCCACGTGGTCACTGTCATGGATCGCCTCCCCTGCAACCATGGCGGCAGGAGTATACAAGACTTGTCCTGGCTCCAACCTGCCACAGAAGAGGGCACCCTTGCCCGCAAGATCTTCCAAGTCCTCTGCCTCAGCATGCGTCAAGAATGGTGGAGCTGAAGCGTATGTCACCCGATCCCTCTCATCTTCTTTCTTCTTGTTGTTGAGAGCTTCCATAGTGTGCATCACAGTCAGCGGGTCGGCCAAAGCCACATGTCCTGTCTCAAGAAAGGATGGACAAGTGCCTAAACATCAGTCAGCAATTTTTGACACAAACCTTCTGGAAACACACTTTGAGAGTGCGTGTGCAAAAATACAGCTGCGATCCAAAAAACCTACTACTATAAGCAACGCCATGATTCTTTCGCCTTTGCAGCAGAAGCGAAGGCTCGCGAATCCACCAACCTCATACTGCAAAGATCTGTGCTTTTGAATCGTTGCATAGCAACTGGGCGGCTGCCACTTGCCCACGTCGAGGACGGTGTGGTTGGAAAGTAGAGACGAGGCGCACTCTGCAAGCGCAGCCCCCGACTTCTCATCCATGCGTCGTTGGGCCTTGCCGGCCGTGAATCGCAAGTCGGACTTGCTGAACTTGCTTTCGAAAGTGGAAAGCTCATTTCTGACACCTGCAACGACGTCATCCCCACCATCTCCCAACACGTTTTTGAGGAGAGGTGGGGCGGTCTCCAAAAGGAAAGGTTTGCTCATGTCGTGCTCGGCAGGGACTGGCCAAGTATCATACTTGGCAATGGGGGTCGCCGCGCTTGACCCTGCACCAAAGACTTCATACATCTTGGAACCCTTGTTTTTGGCTCCGGCCTTTGCCTTCGCTTTTCCTTTTGCCTTGGCCTTTGCAGGGCCTTGAGAATCAATTGCTCTCTTCAGCTCAGTGGTGGCAGTCTTGTACGCACCCATGAGCTCGTCCCAGTGCGCAAAAACTTGCCTGACTGACTTCCAGGCGAGGTCAAGTTCTGCTGCAGACTTGACTCCCTGGAACTGCTCGTTCAAGGTTCTGGCTGCCGTGACCGTGATCAATGCTCGGAAGTTGTGGCACGGCGCTGATGTCCTCAGTGAAGTCTGCCACGACCCCCACCCCCCTATACACTTGAAATTCTTGCTTAAAATTAGGAGGCTGTTCCTACTTGTGTACACCTTTTGTCTTGACAGTTTTAAAGCGGCCACGGCACACAAGTGAAGCATCCTTGGCACTGCCATTGGTGTTGACAGACACTGCGTCCTCGCTCTTCAAGAGTGAGTTGATGTGGGTCTCCAACTCTTCTGGGGTGCCAGTGCGGACCAAGGACAACGCTTTGTTCCTTGTGTCTAGGATCTTCATCTCTGTCACCGCAACAGCTGAGCCACAAGTGGTCGCTTCAGCTCGTGCAATGTCCATAGCTTCTTTCATCTGACCATCCATGGTCGCCAAGCGCTTGACTGCCTTCTGCAAGTCTTGGCCGAACTTTCTGTCTGCTTTTGCTCTCTCAGCCACAGCGTCAAACCATTTGTTCTCCTGAGGCTTGCCATTGCCATCGGGCGCTGATGAACCAGAGGCAGAAGCTTGCCCTGGCTCTCGTTGACCTTTGTCATCATCACTATCCCCAGCCTCCGGGGCAAGGCCTTTCTTGCTCTTGGTGGGCAAGGCAGAAAGCTTTGGAATCAACGTCCCACTGCTGTCTTGGTCCATCATCACTGCGTGCGCCAAGTCTTGCTCCGGAGCGCTTCGCCTCCCGCCTGCCAGAACCAAGACTTTGTTTTTCTCAGCCAGCTGGTCCTTGCTCAACTTGTTTCCTAGTCGTGACTGCTGTTCAATCTCACGACTGGCACCAACGTCGTCGTAATCGACTATGTCTTCAAAGATTGGGATTGCCAGCTTGAGACTTTTGCCTTCGCCTTCCCGAACTGTGCTAGGGTCACTCTCATACTCTTCCCACTTCCGTTGAGCTTGGCTGGCGCTGAGGGTTCCACCTTCACTCGTTTTTGCCCAACTGTAAAAGTAGTCTTCAGTCATCATGCGGCGGCGAGCCTCCTTGCGGTAACCACTTGCATGGATGGTCCTCTCTCTGTAAAGGGACGTGTTGAACTTTACCTTGGTGCGTTCCTTCTCGCATTTGGCTTTCTCCTTGTTGTAGGCTTGGAGGAGCTGATCCACCTCGGCATCGTCCAAGCCTTTGAGCCACGCTGCTTCTCCAGACCTCTTAGCAACGTTCTGCAGGTTTCGAAGTCCTTGGCTGCAGTCAGTGCATTGAGCTTGGCCTTGGTAGAAGTCAGAGCACAACTTCATCTTCTTGCATCGCTTGCACTTTTTTTCCGTCGCTTCACCAGCTTTGTTGGCTGAAGTGCGACGTTTCTTTGGCGGCGGTGGCGCGGGCTCTTCTTTGGCGCTCTCACCTTTAGCCGGAGACGGCAGCTTGGGCTTGGCCTGTGAAAGCCCCAAACCATCCTGACATGACTCTAGGTCGTCCATTTGCCACTACAAGGGGCTGCTAAGGAAGCTGAGACCTTTCCTAGAAAAAACTTCGGCTACACGCAAAGAGCACATCACGCATCACTGTGTGACTCTGACAGTGAATCTGAATCCAAGACGGGCTGTGGCTGACACGCAACTCTTTCGTTGACGATAAACGAATGTGAACTGAGATGAAGCTGGCGAGCATGAACTTTGCCCTATGAGGTCCCGACGGCCACACGCAGGTAGCAAAGCCTGGCAAATTGGCCACCGCCCTCAACAGTTGACCAAGTCATTGGTATAAAAACCGAAATTCGGAAGAGTGAACATGTTGGCACTCAAAGAAACACTTCTCGTTGCATGGGCGCCCTTTTTCCAAGATCTTGTGCTCAGCGTCTAAACGCTACAATTCCTAATTACATCTTGAAACTGTTACAAATTCTCGCTACCGCTGATGCTGTATCCGCTCTGGCGTCATGAGTCTTCAACATCCGTGCTAGGCCCCTCCGCTGTCTGCTCCATACCGAAGCACTCTTCAGGCGTAAGGAAGCGAAGAAACCGGCCACGATGACACACTGGCTTCGTGCAACCAAGGATGAAAAGAAGGGCGTGGCCGACACACTGAACATGCATCCCATTGCCAGCCATGCTTCGGAGTGTGGCTGGCGGCTGCTTGAAGTGGAAGTTGCCCTGGTCCACTTCAACCATAGCATCCCTGAAAGGGCACACATACGGACACTCAGGCGGCACGAAAACCGGAAAGCCTTGGACTTCGAACATTTCTGGAAGTGTCATGGTCCGCTGGTGGAGCATGGAGAACAAAGTGCTGTTCTGTATCAGGGCTGGGATGTACTTGACGCAAGGACTGCGCTGCGGAGTTTGTGTGATGTTCATCACAAAGAAGTCGGATTGGTCCCTGGCCAGATTTGACTGACTCCGGCATTTCCTTGAAGGCGCTGGAACAAGTTTAACAAAATAAGGGCAAAGGGAAGGCAGGGATGGCGTCCAGCGGGTTTACTTCAAAAAACAGCCTAATAAGAAGCTAAGCTTCGCTTCCCATTCCCTCACACGCGCACGGACACCGTTGGACATCAAAAGCTTGCTTGGCCACGGGTTCCCATTGGGCTGCGTCTCTGGCATCCCCTTGGCTTTGGCAATGGCCATGTGCACCTCACGGACAAAGCCTTTAGAAGCGTCGTAGAACACCCTGCCATCAAGGCACACTGGCCGAGAAAACAAAGTGAAGAAGGCAGAAAGGGGTTCCTTTGCAACCTCTGGTGCCCACATCAACCACCCTCTTCTCACCAGGAAGACATACTTCCTGCATCTTGTAGTGAGGAGACCGAGCATCTGTGGATTAAGAGTGGAAACAAGGATGTCGTAGGTGGCACCAAGCAGCTCTTCCAGCATTGGATCGTCGAAGTTCTCCACATTTTTAAGCAAAAGGACATCGACTGGAGCCCTCACCTTTTCACGAGCCCAAACCAAGAAAGGCAAAACAGACTGCCCAAGCCAGCCTTCTTGGTTTCCGAGGCCAGACCAGGAGACACATGTGGGCCCAGATGCGTGCACCCTGAAAGCCCAAGGGTTCTCATCGCTGACCTGTGTGCACGGGCACTGCCTGCCATGCCTGAAGTAAGCAGATTCAGAAACGCTCTCCTCTGCTTCCGCAACTTCCAAAAGTCTCCAAGCTTCGCGCATGAACTCCCTGCCAAGTCTCTTGACAACAGTGTTTCTGGAAACCCTTCCTTTCTTGCACTGACATTTTTTTTCCACGAGTACGGACGCCATGTGGGCATGATGCCCAGGTCATCATTGAAGGAAGGGAAATACAATCAGATGGTGGAGAAAAGGACAAAGACAACCCAACAACAAACCAAACAAAACCAACCACAGCCCACAGGCCGAGACTCCACCACCAAGTAGTATTTCCTCTGTACTAGGGTGAAACAAGTGAGACGATGACTGCTAACTATCTATGGGCCTGAATTCACGAAAGAAGAGCATGGCAGCGAGGGTTTGTGCTCTAGCGAAATCTCAACGAAGTCGTCAAATGGACTTCACATCACTATCACCAGTGACCAACGGCCACTGCACAGAGTGGCAAAAACCTGGTCACAATGCAAGTCCCGGGCATTGGTATGATCTACCGCAGGTCTGATCCTTGCCTAAGTGGATCAGTAGTTGCTATGCTGATCATGCCGTGGAAAAATCCTTTCTTGTAGCACAACCCTTGCAACTGGTTGCACAAACAAGTCAAGAGGCATAGTAGTGTTCAGGCAGTGGCGGCCATAGCAAACGACGAAAGCCTGCTGGTAAGGGTGCGAAAAGCATTCCCCCCCGAAGGAAGGTCATCTCTGTGAAAACACAGTAGCAACGCGCCCTTTTCGGTCCCGCTCCTTGAGCCAAAGTTACAGTCATTTATAGACTGTCTTCAAATGTCCTCTTAGCTTCTTAGAAGCACATCCACTCTTCTTGAAAGAGTACATGACTGTACCTAGTCATCTCCAAACTACACAAACTGCAAGGAAACTACATCAAACAGTCCCTAAAGACATCGTGCTCTACCAAAAGGTTCTCTAAGCAGTTCCTAGCCACAAGTTGCCACTTCAAACATCCTCCTGCTAAGGTGGTCAAAGGTCAAACACAAAAAGGGCACAGACCTCCACTCAGCTCCAACCCCAAGCACTCCAAAAACGAAAATTCCCTAAAGAAGCAAGCGCTAGGTGAGCCATACGCTGTACACGTGCGCTGTACGCTACTTTTCACACCCCTTCTTGGGTCGCCTAGGGCTTCCTGCCTTCTTCTTCTGTCTTCTTCTCTTCTTCTATTCGTTTTGTGGGAGCAACTAAGGATCAGACATCAACTAAGATCCAAACTTCTGCCCTCAAAGGTGATCTCAATGACATCAATCCAGAGGTGAACTCGAGCTCAAACCAAGCAAAACTCCAGATCCATCAAAGAATCAACTTCGACCTTCAACCAACACGCATTCAACCAAGGACAAACGTGCAAAAAGGATCTCTCAGAGGTGGGTCATGGAATCTCATGGGTTGATTCCTTATTTCATTGACCCTTTTCAACCTCATCATCGAGATCCTCAAAAGCGCAAGGCTTTCAAGGACAACTTACCTGTCAGCTCAGGAAGCAAAAGGTGATCTAGAGTTACCATTCCGTGCGAACCTCTGACCTCAAGACCTGACAAGTTCACAAAGTTGACATCGACTGCACAAGATGAAAACTACCAAGGTTACCTAGACACAAACTTGCAATGAACATAGTTGCAAACAAGCACAAGTGAACTCGCAAGAAAACTCGCTGGAAGCTAAACCTGCGATGAACGAAGCTCCAAGCAACTGCACAAGACATCACAAGAAACTCTTTCTAGAGGTTACCTGTTCATGAACTGGGTTCCAAACATCCTGAATCAAGTGAACTCGTCTTCCCACAGCAAACTCAAACTCAAAATCACAAACCCTTTGCCACGCTGCACGCGTCTAATTCTGCCTGCCTATCTGATCTCCCTTTCTCTTGCTTCCTCTTGCTTTCTCTTGCTTTCTCAAGACAAGATAAAATCTTCAAACATGAACTCCCAATCAACAAGCAAGCAAGACATGAACAAAATGGCCTCCAAATCATATCTCCATAAATTCAACCTGACATTACACGTTCAAGCATGCCTCAAGCCAAGGTCAAGCCAAGTTCAAGCATGGTGGCACATGATGTTCTGAAAACACAAGGAAACACTAACAAAGGTGATCTTCTTTTTCTTTTTCGTGGTGCAAGCTGCTGGGCCGCAAAAATGGCCTTCTAAAAATCATGCCATTTCTCTGATGGCAGTTCACCATTCAAGGCACTACAAGTTAGGATCCGGCTGCCATCCTTTTGGGATAGTCATCGTAGATCCATCCGCCAACTTCACCTTCTTAAACCCTGGCGCTGGATCATCCATTGGAGTAGACGGGGTCCCTCCTGGATGTCTCTCTGGCACAGCTGGCGGCTGTGGCAGACTGGTACCAGGAATCTTGCCCCCTCCAAGTGCTGGATTCTGAAAGGCTGCCGGGATCGTACTGGCACCTGGACTTCCCATCGACACTGGCGGTGCCGGCACGGGTGGTGGAGTCGGAGCTTGTTGCTGAGCTAGATTCTGAGCAGCATGCCGAAGGGATATCCGTTGCCCCTCAACCAATTCTTTGAGCAACTGGTTCCCCTCTTTGACATTTTCGTTGAGTGCGATCATGCCTTCGTAGGTTCGCTGCGAGTGGTCCACCCCTTTGGCGAGCTGTGCACTGCACTCTGACAGAACCTTGGCACTGCTCATCATCAACTCCTTCAAACTTACATTCACAAGTTTGGCTCCCGATCCGCTCACCTGCCAAGCACAGTTGTCCAGCTGCTTCTGAATCGCCTTGACTTCCTTTAAAAGCGGGGGTCCTTGATCTCCATTTACCTTAATGTGGGCAGCGAGAGCAAGGATCCCGTCAGACATGCGAAGCAAACTGGTCTGCTGGGCATCCAGCTTCGGGTTGACCGACCCGCTTGATTCGGCCATGCTAGATGCAGCATCCTGCACCTTTCCAATCACCGATGAGAGCTGACCGAACTTGTTGGTTGCCCATACAAGGCAATCAAGGAGGGATTCCACAGTGACCTCCTTGGCCGGTGTTGGGATCGGGTTGCTCAAACTGCTCATACCCTCCGACCGGTCCACTGCCAGATTCTCAAGGGCCACCAACTTCTCGAAGTACGACCAAGCCATCATCGCTGATCCGGCTCGCAAATGAAAGAGACGCCCTTCCAAGTCGGGCAACTCACCACGCAACTCTTCAAGACTTTTTCCCGAAAAAGACACAAAGCCCTCCTGGAGAGGTGACGTCGGGAAAATGTCTCTTGCCTGGTTGTCATCATTCTCCCGGCTGGCAAGCTCAATAGTCAGGCGTTTGAGGTAGTAAATCATCTTCTCCACATTTGTCGCGCCCGTGTGCCACCTCGAGGCTTCACAGCGCAAGTCGTTGAGT